AATGCCGTTAGCTGTGCCAATAAACCTGCCACTAATTTTTGAGGTGGCTTGGGTTTGTGGGATTTGGAGATTGCTTTTTGCCTCTGGAAAAAACAACAGGCCTCTTACTATCCAAGCACCAGTACAACTGTTTTTAACAAAGGGTTAATTTTCATGCTTTCCAACATAATCCCTTCTGGAGAAAAATGTTCCTGTCATATGAACATCAATGCAGCTATAGTAAACAATAATCTTTTAAATGAAAAGCTACTGGATTGTTTGAAGACAATAATTTTAGAAATATGGACATTTTGGGGAATTTTGACACAGACTTAAAACAGGATCAAGAGCAGTTATGCTACAACTCCACTTTTACTTGATACTTTCTAGATAATTCTTCCAAGGGTCTAAAACCTTCCACACCTGCTTTCAGCTCAGGGGTCAGGGGCCTTTTAAAAACCTCAGAGGAAAACCTTTCAGCTGTCTGTGTAACACTTAGCTTGAAAAGGTAAAATTCAAAGCATTCAAACTCTTCATAACTCAAACATAACTGATCAAAGGGCTCCAAAATTTGCCTTGTTCCAATATCTGAGGATTAAATGTTGATATTTTTAAAAGTTACAAGCAACCGAATGAGTCACTGTAGGCTCAAAGGAGATCTTAGAGATGGAAAAAACAGGGGTGAGCAAAGTACACATTTTCCCTCCCTGGCCCAAAGACGGTCGTTGAAGCATTCAGATCAGTTTAATACTTGGTGAGAAATTGTTAAGAAAGCTGGTTTAAGAATAAAGATATGCAGGCTGAGAACAAAACAGGTACAAAATAACCACGGCCCCTTGAATCCCACAGCCTTTGCAACTCTGCACCTTATAGCATTTTACACCTTTCACAGTCATCGTCTCTTTGTAGTGGGGAAATAGTGTCCCAGCATACGTTTAATCAGCTGCTGCCCTGTTGACCCAGCCTTGGAGGAAGAAAGCTCAGTTGTGTGTGTTGAGGCCTCTGCATTTGTTCAAGAGCAGAGGTCTCAACACAGGTCCCCCATCCCACTCGCCGCCACTGACAGGAAATCTTCGAAGTGTGCACATGGGGTCTCCCCTGCCTTCTGCTGCCCTTCCGTTTATTAAAAACAAGCAGCCCAATGTTAAATGTCTCTGACTAGAGTACGTATCACACACACCACTGGAAACTTAAGGTTTTAAGCTGAACAGCATTAAAGCCAGGCAGTGAAAGCTAGGTTCCACAGGAACATTTAACAGCTTCTCACAGGATAACCCATATGCGTTTAGATACATACTTAACAATATAAAAACCAAAACGAATATACCTAATGTGGGCAGCCTGAAACTCAGTGATATTTCACTGTAGCATCCCACGTATAGTTCATGACTGGCAACTGGAGGGCTTACAGTATAGGGAACAGTGGATCTCTCTCTCCCTCTCGAGACCTGCGTATTCAATATTAGCATTCATATGTATTAACGAGTAGAAACAACTGTGAATTGTCTCCAAATCCAATCATTTAGAAGCACAAGTTCATAAGGGGCCACAGACTATTCCAGTGAAATACTAGCACATGCCTTATGACTACAAGCCATTGTGTGCTCAAAGTCAATAGAAGAGATCAGAAACACAAGAATATTTGCCATATGTTCTTGACAGGAATTTTTCATGCTCTCTCTCACAAGACACACAAAGAAGAAGCAACCAGAGCCACCCAAGCTCTCTTTGATGGAGGATTGAAAGGGTGAGACATTCCTAACTGAGCTTTCTTCGTATCAACTTGAAGTTTATTTTCCATCCTGCACAGCTGGATGCATACCAAGAAAGGGATGAAGACCCTCCACTCTTTCCTTTAGTGCCTCTTGCATGCAAAATTTACACAGGCTTGAGTTAAACTCATCTGCTCACTATAGGCTCTTTTCAGCACAAGTGTTACACAATGTGAAGGCTGTGAAAACGGACAGCAGAGCACAGAATAGGCTTCTGTATCCAGCTGAGCTATTCAGCAGGAACTCAGCTCTATCAACTTGCCCAGGAAGGTGCCTGCAGGACCTTTAGTAGAAAGACAGCAGATGCTATATTGCAAATTAGCTTTACCCTACTGACCTACAGACAGCACCAACTCTGCTAGGGTCCACATACGGGTACCACTTGGGGTCACAGGCATAGGAGTCACCACAAGCCGATGCGGATGCAGAAACATGGGGTTAGAAGCCACATCTAAAAATCACCCTGTGTTTGAAAGTCTTTTAAATTTAAAACTAAAACAGCCCTGCATCCCTCCTCCTGACCAAATCAAGTTCATGAACTGCAATCTGCAGAGCTTCTCCAGCTGCCTGGCCTCATGCTTTGTTTTCCCATTGTTCAGCTCCACAGTTGCAGGAGCTGACTTAGCCACAATTGCTTTCCAGATTGCTAACAATTTGCTTTACTCTCATTTTCTGAAGCTTCTGCTTTTTAAAATCGATGTATTCCCAGCCTGGTGTCAAGCCTAAATGCAGTTCTTCTGAAACCTAAAGTCTTGCCAGAGAAGAATTCTCAGTACGTGTTAAAAGTTAAGAAGCCCGCTGAGAGATGCTACCCAAATACAAGACAACCCTTCACATGCAATTAGCATCAAATGAAAATTGAATCGCACTTTATATGGGATGTATTTTGCTTAGAAACACTGATCGCGCTACAACAAATGCCTACTTACTATATAAAGAGAGACGCTGTAAAAACCATGCTAGTAAGTCATAGATCTGTGATTTGTTTGCAGTGGTGTTTAATATTTACACTGGTTTGTTTTACAAAGCTGTTGAAATAGAAAAGATATAGCAAGAAACCCCTGTCTACTGTCTACCATCAGTAATCCTCACTGGTTTGTTTACCATTTATAAGGAAAACATCATTCAATGCAGCTTGTCACAGAGACTCATCTACAATAACTGGTCTTTGTGCCAACCCAAGATGCCTGAGCCTTTGTTGTCACGTTTACAGTCAACCACGGACAGATAAAGCAGTAAGCAGCCAACAAGAACATCTGATGAGACTTTTTGAAGAAGTGGCCTTGAGAATGACATTTTTTCACAAGGGTCTTTAACACATGCCTTTAATTTCCCCAGATGGACAGGTTATTGATTCTTACCCAGAAGTTTTAGAACCCCCAACTTCAAGCTTTAGGTACATACCAAGACTTTAAAAAAAATAGTATTTACCTACATCAATAACAACACTATGCCTTCCTCTAACACCTTTCTGCCAAAGATCAGAAACTTCCTAACATCAGTGAGAGGACAATAATTGTGCCCATTTTACAGATGAGTAAACCGAGGCACATATGGTTAAAGTTACTTGCCACAGGTCACTCAAGAAGTATTTTGAAATACCAGGCTTAGAACTGAGATCACCTGGCAGAGCCAGGGCCATCAGTCATACGCCACGCTGCTTCTTTAGGTGAAGAAAACCGTCGGCTGTCACTCTTTCTTACATGATCTTTATCCTCTTCAAAAAAGATCAGAAATTTCCCATGTTCTGAGGAACATCCCCCGTTTGGTCACTCACTGCATTTAGTTCTTGCATTAAAATCTGTGCGTCATGGATTTGTTTGTAAATCAGTATCTGCACTAAACCAAGTCCCAAGAGAGTCACTGTGACATGCAAGCGGTAGGCAGGTAAACAATGGGTCAGATTAAGCCTGCTAGTGTCATTAGACACTAGCAAGATTAGCCTCATCCACCTGCAGATGGGCCTCTGCGTCCCGGTCTCCAAGAGCAGGTTCCACCACCTTCTCCAGACAAAGGATTATAACCTGGAATTACAGATGAAAAGTGCATCAGGCACATAAAATATTCACCCCCAATAAAATGAGTCATTAGCACATGATCAGAGGGCAACTATTTCAAGAGGGAAGCAGAAGTCAGAGAACTGCGAGTATAAATGCGAACCATTCAGAGTTATACAAATCATCCAGTCTTGAAGGTGTTCCTTCGCAGCATGGCCCATGTTGTCAGCAACGGAACATTTTAAAAATTTACATTTCACAAGTCTGGGCCATGCTGAAAGAAGGCAAATTAAGTGACAGACCCTCAAGGGTTCAAAAATGCAGGAGCAAAATATGCACTTTGCATAGTTATATCACTGTGAATAACAGCGTTAGAGCTAACATACTACTCACTGGTCATGGGAGAGTACAAAGTGTTCCTTTTGGTCTGGGAGTTCAAAGAAGCTAGATATTCAGACTAAACTTTGTAGCAACCCATCATGGGATTTTCTTTGTTTTAATCAGTACAGAGCGGTATTAGAAAATGCATATCCCCTTAGCCCCACCTGCATTAGGCTACGGATATTTGTTCAATATTCATTATTCCAATATTATAACAAGTCAGAGGCAGATACAAATTACCTCTCTAAATGCAAGAATGCTCAAATTAATGCTTCATTTTATAAGTGTACATTTCGGGAAAAAAAAGCCTGGCAATTTTCCCTGGTCTCCCTCCATAGCGTATACAAGATGTCAGAGAGATAGATTACAACTCTCTGAACTGCCAAGCAAGCTATTTTCAAAGTCAGTCCACTGAAACCTCTGCTACTTTCCCCAGCATTATGGAAATCCCAGAAATTTAGTCAGCAACTAGAATGGTCTACACATGTCTTCAATCCACCATCATCTACCTTGCGAGCAGAATGCAGACATCTAATGCCATAATCTGTTACTTACTTTGCCTAGCATGAGCCTAGGACAGGTGCAGACAAGGGAAAACTGAACAAGTGGGCCAGCTTCTTTAGGAAAGTACTCCACACGGCTGTGGCCTGCTCTTTCCTGTTCTCCCTCACATTTTATTCAGGAAGTCTTTAATATTGAGCACTTCATAGAATTAGACTACGAGACTATGCTGAAGTTAAACTTACACACATGCCAGCATCAGCAGAAAACACATTTGTGCAGCATTTTCTACTCTATAGTAAATCAGGCTATTGGCTAAAATGTATTCAAACTTGACAACATTTCTTTGTGCAGCTTTTTGAACTTACTCCCTGCTACAATCGTATTCAGTGGGATCCTTCTATCTGATAGGTCCATGGGGAAAAATAGTAATTGTCTAGATATTATTTTTTCCTTACGACAACAGTGATTAGCTTATTGGCCCCAAGTCAGCTTTATCAGTAGAGCCAATGCTGTTTCTGTAGAAGGCAGATAAAGGACTGTTTGCAGAGTCTTTGTCTACAACAGGAATTCCATAACTCACCACATGGTATTTGAGAACCCAGGTGCAATCTTAGCTTGATATATTGTTTTAATTGCTTGTGTGCATCATATACAATACAATGCAGGAAGAAAGTATTGAACTAGTGCTAGGTATGCACCACTTACTCCAACTGGGGAAAAAAAATAGCAAGACTAAGTATTTTCTGACACCAAAAGCTACAGACTCTCAATGAGTCACAGCAAAAATGTTTCCTCAAGGAATTGAACCATTGTCAGGCTTCCCCACTGCCAAAATTTATGAAAACTCCAGAGATTACTGCACAAACCTTTATGGAAAGGTATGTGGCCCCAGATGCTAACACTGTACAGACTGAAACCCTCAACCATGAAAAGTTGCATCATAAGGTATGCGTTACATCAAGGATCAAAGTTGTCCTTTCTCTGACTAAACAGAAAGGAATCATGTCTGTATAAAAAGGCCATCCAGAAAACTGAAAAAAATGCTTAATTTTTCAAGAGAAAGGCATTTGAAAGATACTTAAGGTTCATACTTACCACCTCCACGCAGAGGCTTTTTGTCTGGCTTTGGCTTTGGGACTGCTGATGAGGTGGAAGGGCTGGATGCTGTTTCTTGCTGTTAGCATAAACTAAAGTTATTCAGAACTGATCAACACAGGTTTCAGCTAGTCATTTATAGGCATTTACTGCAGGATTATGAAAGTGTAATATAAAGTTACAGTTAGAATCATAGGAAAGTAGAGTTTAGCTTCAGATTTCCTTTCCTTACCTGGTTCAGCTTCAGATTTCCTTTATAGCTTTTTCCTTCCTGCATGCTTTCCCACATTGCTATCTTCTGCCTTCTCTTCTCTTCTTCAAGCTGAGAAAAACCCAGTTTGTAAGATTTTATGACTGCCTGAGTTAACACCTGAACTGTTGTAGAGGAAACAGCCTCCCTCTCCCCCACCTCAAAAGCCAAGGACTGCATTATTGCCTTTTTAGCAAAGAAAATCTATCACAAGCTAAACGCTGAAACAAAGAGACAATCCCTACTTTCACTTGCCTTATCTCAACAGCAATTTAAAAAAGGTCTTCCTCATCTCATCATACAGGGACTGGAAATAATACACATTCAAGTCCTGGCTATAACTCTTTTCTCCATTGTTCTGTATTAATGGCACTTGTTTTCAAATTTTGTATTCTGTAAAAGTTCTTTATAAAGCATGAATATGAAGTAATTTAACACATTAAAGCAGTTTCTGGCAGGAAAAAAGATGTATTTTTCAAATTAGTGTCAAAGCCAGGCCACTCCATGGAAGAGACACCATTACCAGCATATCAAAACATGGCCAGAACCTCTGCCCAGATCAATTTATCCAATATAAGGTATATGTTAATAAATAACAGACTGCCTTAGTTCAATGAAAATGAGGAGAAGTATACTAGTTTGCCCAGAGTCAAAGAAAGCAAAGCTTCCTCAGTCTAACTGCACTGGGATGAGATTTCTTCCAAGATGGCTATTTACTTTCTCCATTAGGCTTTAATTCTCAACATTTCTTGAAATGTTGCTGCAGCAACAAGAACTTCAAACAAGGCTTGATGGTTACACAAAAAGAGAAATATATTGCCACCTGTACTCAAGCCTGCCATGCATGGAAATGAAACTTGATGGAACTGACTGCAAAAAGAAAATAAGATGAACTAGGGCTTATAAAGCTTTTTACTGCTACCCTGATTACAGTAAGCATTCCTATGCTGTTACCTAGAGAGGAGGCGCTGAACGATGCTGTATTCCTTATTATCTCAAACTGTACTCCAAAGCTTTTAGGGCCTAACGATGCTGTGCTGCATTAAATCTACAAATAAGTCAAGCTTGCCATTAAGAAAATATATGTGCACTAGCAATGCTAATTTGAATTGTAATATAACCAGTCCCAAAGATCCATCTGCATACACAAAGACTCAGCCAGTGCAACTGCACAAATTGCCTACAGGCTTGACATTTTGAAGAATCAAGCCCTAGAGTTTTCTGTATCATTTCAGATAAACAAGCGTGCCCATGTCAGTCATTTCAGAAAATAGAATAAAGAGTTCAAGCCCTTTAATCCAAGCAGAAAGAAAGGCAGGAGCACCCCCTACTGCCCATTGATCTGGACAGATGTGCAAGAGAATACTCAACTCTAAAACTACATCACAGACACCCTTCTATCCCTTCGGTTACCTCTCTTTGTTTTTCTTTGTATTTTTCTGCTTGTGCATTCAATTCTTCTTGCATCTTTAGACGAGCTGCTGCCAGGGCTTCCTGCCGCCTCACCACCACATCAGGCTCTAAACAGCCACAGAAAAAGTGGGTAAAGCAATTGTATTCAGTTGAGGTGCACCAATAAAGATTTTTTTGGCCAATACCAATGGCCGATTATTAACCTGCCATATCAGCCAATACCTATCCTATAGCTGATATGCAGCCCAGCAGCTTGGAGAGCAGTATCTGGCTGGTAAGTCTGTTGGGGGGGAGGAGAGTGCTGGGGGGGGGGCAGATCCAGGCCCCCACAGCGAAGGAGAGAATGGGGCTGGGGCAGGGGCAGGCGCTGGCGCTGCCCAGCTGGGGTGGAATGGAGGGTGGAGCCATGGGCTGCTCATCCCACCACTGCGTGCACCCCCAGGGGAGGCATGGAGGGCACATGTCCCCTGGATTTGTGCACGGGGCAAGGGCAGGCTGCCGCTGTGTGCTCAGGGCCAGGGGTTGTGCCAGCCTCTTCCTAGCGGGGGGGCGGGCAGGCTGCACTTGGGATGGGCAGCAGTGGCGCTGGGAGGGGTGGGGTTATGGGGTGGGCTACAGCCACCCCAAAATTCACCATAGCCCTCCACACAGGCCCCCTCCCCACCAGCACTGCCACCTGCCCCTGCCTGCCTCCTTATCCTGTGCTCTATCAGCAAAAATACTAAACACCACTCCAAAGGAAAGCAAACAGCCCCAGAAAGCCATCTGGACCACCCACATCTCTTCACCACTGTCTTTTCCCAAGTCACAAGAAAATATGACAAGTCAATTATTTTACTCATCTTTGTTTTTAACTCTTGAACTTTCCCACATTCACTTTTTATAGTCATTGTTTACATAATAATATACAAATCATCATGAACGTACAAATGAGTTGATAAAGCATCAGCTGAAGTTGCATAAAAGATGCCTAATTTTTCATAACAGCATAAGAGATGTTGCCATGATGGCCCAGAGTATGTGAGAGGCAAGGGTTTCTTAGGGTGGTACCTTTAACAGGGCCAAGTGTGTTACTGGGATAAAGTCAGACACATTCTTGGACAGCACCTGATGAAGAACACTTTGCATTCAATAGCTTGTCTACTTTCTCCCAGCAATAAAGTTGCTCCAGTAAGAGATATCACCTGAAGAAATCCTTGCCTGATTTACTTTTTCATATATTTTTTTTCCTGTGGCTTGATGTGGTATAAAAGTTTACAGTAGGATGTTTATAGGCTGCTTTACTGCGCAGCAACATCTAGTTATGACCATGATAGAAAGCCAGCACAACAGGAACAGAAGAGATAATTTGCGAGGCCCCCAATGTGCCAGATGAATTGATGCCAGGCAATTCTTCATTAGACAATGCCATAACTGCATCCCATGCTTTAACGGCAGCATGAATCCAAATGAGGCCAGGACACGACTCTGCAGCATTTACCTTCTAGGGCTGCAATTTAGGAAATAACACCTGGGCACTGCCTGCAGTGCACACTATTTCAGTTGCACCCAAATGTTCTTTCACAGAGATCTCATTAAATGGAAAGTGCCAAGAGATTGTATGAAGGAGGAAATGGCTAGGGAAGATTGATTAGAAAGGTGTGCCAGGCATATAAACCTCCTCTCCCATACAGCACAAAAAACACTTTCTCGGTAGTTCTGTACAGTGCCCAGATTCGTGGCGATGGCTCCCAAAGCATCCGAGTCCTCCAGCACCCAAGAAGAACAGGCTGCTCTGAAGAGAAGCAGGGATGCCCTCGCTCCACAACCCTGCCTCATCCTGGCAAACTTCCTGCATTTCTCCCTGATGGCTGCTGCCCATCTGTGGCAGAGGTCTTCCCTTCTCCAAATGCTTCTCTTCTCCTAAGCCAGCAGGGCTAAGCTCTTTGGCAGGCATGCTGCCAATCAGCCCCGCACCTGGCAAGCACCACTCCGATCCTCTACCCTGCACGATCTGGTGCTCTGCTTTCTGCTCCCCACCTGATCTACTGCTCTTGTTTCCTGCCCTTTCTGCACTGGGTGTCCCGTGCTCTCCCCAGCCTGCCGCACACAGAGGCTGCTCGTGGCGCCACAGGCCACCCCTGTGCGGAGTCTCCTCCCGCTTCCCTCCTCACCAACAAAGCACCTACTGGCAGCTGCGGGGGCTCCCCTGGGCGAGGGGGCCCAATTCATCTGCCAGACCTTTAGAGCGGGAACCTCATCATCACACAGCTGCCTAACGAGGCCGCAGCAATGCTCTGCCAACAACTGCGGCCAGGCACTGGCTGCAGAGACCGAGGGCAGCCTGGGCCGCGGGGAAGTTCATGCCGAGTTGGTCCTGCAAGTGCCCCCAGCTCCGCCTCCCGCTAGCCTGGGGGCCACCACAGACGTGGAGGAGGACACACACCTGCAGCCGCCCCTGGTGGGTCCGGCCGGCTCCGGGCTCGGGTGCTCTCGGCCACCTTCTGCACGAGGAGGTAGATGGCGATGCAGGCGAGCAGCAGGTACCAGCCGTAGGCCGACAGCAGCGCACCCACTGAGGGGAGAGTGCGGCAGCAGTCACGGCACGGTCTGAGGGAGCATCTCCCCAGCCTCACTGCTAGGGGCAGCCCCGCAAGAGGAGGCAGTGCTGAGGCCACCGGGGGTCGTGACACTGTCTCCACCCCCAGCATGGCACCCCCCCCCGGGGGAGATATGGCACAGCCCAACCCCCCTCCCCTCAGGGAAGACATGACACAGCCCCCCCCTACCCCCTACAGCTCAAGGGAGACATGGCACAGCCCACCCACCCCCACTAACCACAGGGGGAGAAATAGCACAGCCCAACCCCCCCAGTGGAAAAAATCGTACAGCCCAACCTCCCCCACTACCTCTCAGGGGAGACATGATACAGCCCCCCCTCCGTTGGAAAAATGGCCCAGCCCGCTCCCCCAGGAGAGCGGCCGCCCTCACCCGCCCGCGGGAGGAGGTGCAGGCCGCCGTCCTCCACCGCCGGCTGTCCGGGCCCCGGCGCGCCTCCGCCCAGCTCCATCCCCGCTGCCGCTCCGACCCGCTCCCCTATCCGGATGACCCCTCACATCCGGGACCCGCCCGCCCCGCCCAGCCAATCGCAGCCTGCTTCCTCGGCCGCGGGGACACGTCGGCAAGGCTGTTGGGCTGGGCCCGCTAATCAGGAGACGGTGCTCTTCCGCAGGCAGCCAATGGGGACACGGCATGAGTCAGCGACCGTCAGGTCACAATGGCGGCGGGGGCCAATCGGGAGAGAGGCGAGGGACTCTCGGGCCAATCGCACGAGCCGAGACAGGCTGCTGTCGCTGCTGCACACACCGCGCCCGGGGGCATCCACCCGGCGCCTGCGCAGCGCGGGTCCAAAGCGCCGAGCTCGCTGCTTTATTCATCTTTATTATGAGATTCATATTTATATTACAAGACTCATTAATCCACATGGATATGGATCTCATAACTATGAATGTGAATCTCATAATAAATATTAATTAAGAAATATAAATATGCATCTCGCAATAAATACAAATATGAATCTCGTATTTATTATGAGTCCTATTTCTTAATATTTTATTATGAGATTCATATTCATATTTATATTTTTAGGTACAGTTCAAAGCACCTGACGCCTTCTGCTCCACCTGGAAACAAGTCACAGGGCAAGCAGAAAAGGCAAGAGAAAACCATGCGAGAAGAGGACACTTCCTCTGTTTTGACCTATAGACACTTCGTCGTTACCATCATTGTACACTCGTGGAAAAAACAAATGGCGATTTATTGGGCTTCCAAATGTACAGTACAAAATTTACAATGGCAATTTCACGCACGACTGTGCTTCCGAAGCAACGGAAAAACCACTGACTGACCCCGAAAGAAGAGCGGATATTAACTTGCTATGGTAAAATGAACATCTTTCTCTAGACACCAATCCGTTCGACGTGGTTTGGAGCACCCGAGGATGCAATTTAAGATCCGTTAGGAATGGCATCCTCTTCCATCTCTTCTTCCACCTCCTCTGAGGGGCCTACGAAAGGGACACAGGATAACTGACCACCAGTATAATTATAACATTGGAAAAATATTCTCCCTAACTGTCTGTGATAATATTGTTTTCCAATCAGTTTATCTTCTTCTATGGAAGAAATAAATAGGGGGTAACAGACCCCTTTATTGATACCACTAAGTATGGGGGAGCAAAGGATCAAAATTTACCACTAGAGTTAAGACTTAACAGATGCAAATCTTCATATCACCCTCCCCCATCTGACACCAAAGCAATGATTTGAAGACATCTTATTCACCCTCAAGTTACTATTCTACAAATTACTCTAGTTTTCAACTCTGCCCACCACAGCATCCATCGCTCAAGTCTACGCTGTCCAAAAAAACAAACAAGACTGGATTACTTTGCATCTTTATGGTCAGTAACCTATAACAGGTTATGGAAAATGGGTCTGAAGATTTTAGTCTGATCACACATTGCGGCCAATTTCAAATAAAATTTGAACAACACTTCATTGTTACACCTAAAATATTTTCTAATCATAGGTTTCATAGTTGATGATCTGCTCAGGTCCCTTCCAACCCTACCAAGTCCAACTCCCTGCCATGGCAGGAAAGAGTACTGGGGTCAAATGACCCTGGACCTTAAGATTTCCACAGCCTTTCACAGCATTTAAAAAACTGAGCTTTCTTGAGGTATGCGCCTTTAAATATCCGTCCCTTTGTTATATACATTTAACCAAGGCATTTTGGACAGATTCATAAATTTATGACACCAATTTTTTTCCCCACCACCTTTAACTCACACTTCCAACCCACCAGTGGAGATCATGCATCTTGTCTGGGACATGATATTACTGGGTCAGCCTGTTACAAACAGAAAGTTTAGGATGCATAATGACCTGCTTTTCGCTCTCTCCCGGGTATCTGACCCGACTGCAACAAACCCTTAAGTCTCTCCACTTCAGCCAGAGTTGTAGCATTGGCGATGGCATTCTAGAAGATGAAGTGATCAACAACACGATGAACACACTCAACTGACATGTTAACTGCTTTCTGATAACACCTGGTTATCAAAAAGAAGTACAAATAATACTGAAATAAACACAAAGTTATTGACTGCAGTGGGAAGTATGTTGATCAATTCTGTGATCAAACCTAAACTCAGAATAAAGTGTCGCCAAGATCAAGAGAGAGAGATATGGGAAGAAAGATTAAATTTGACTGAGGCTTGTGCCGTAAGGAGCCCAGAAGAAAGATGATCAGAGCATGATTTTGCTTTGTTGCTTAAGACATAGCAGTGTGACAAGTTACCAGGTAGGGAGCATTTTTAATCCAGGACAGTTTCCCTGGTTCAGTTCTCCCTATGCAGAGTCTCCCAAAAAGTTACCTTAATTGCCTCAACGTCTCCTGGGGACGGCCCAGCTTTCTTTTTGTCAGTTGGCAAACCAGCACCTGGATTGAAACTTCAAAGAAAAATAAAGACATGTCATTCACACTCCTGTGGAGATTATCTGCTTCTCTAGCTTCCAAAAGCAAATGCTTTTGGAAGCATTTTATTCAATCAAGTGTAGTATCTTATCTTTGTTAACAAACTGATACAATGAAGAATTGTCTCCTTCAGAAACACCAGCAAGTCTGTCTCCCCACCTCCCACCTGCTCCTGAAGAGAAGCAGGCTTTATATTGAGATTATTACAGATCAGATAAATGATGAATGATATATCAGATTTGGATGTTGCTGAACACAGCAGTTCCACTGCATGAATGAGAAGCAAGGTGGATAAAAACAGATATTAAAAAAAAAAACTACTTAAAATGTCATATTCCTATAGCAACCTGCACAGCAAGGCAAGGGCAATCTTTTTAAGATAAATGAAGGAAAAAGAAATACTAACTAGCAAATACTTGCTGCCAAAAAAGGCAAGTTTAAACCAGTAACTAGTGGAAGTGCTCAGCTATATACATCCACCCAAAGTTGGCTTAAGTGCTAAATCAGATTTATACTGCATTAGCCTATTTGCAAGTACAGCGAGACTGTGTCCTTTGTTTTATTGTATTCAACTAGTTCAGTTTAATCAATTGCTGGTTCTAAAACCTTCATGCTATAAGAGAAGACTCAGCTTAACTACGGTAACTAACACTATATTAATTTAATAAGCCAGTAGACAATCTTTATGTATCCAGTATATTTAAAAGTAGTCTTATTTAACTGAAAGTTTTAAAATCTTGATTCACAAATGCTAATTTTCATTCAGTTTGATATGAATGAAAAGTACAAAATAGCAATCTCACTTTTATGTACAAATTCGGAAATGGAATAAATATATATTCAGCTAACTGCTTAAATAGATGTGCATATGTAGAGCATAGCCTCTGTGTTAGAAACATAGTACTAAGTTTAAAGGCTGTATTTAGTTGCAAATCAATGCATTTTAATAATCACTATCCAATGAGAATCAAGTTATTTTTATGCAAATAACTAGAAGTACTAAAAATAAAATGCAAAACAAGAGTGTTTAAAAGAGTCAGCTACTCAAACCCATGCACCCTGGCCAGATACCACTTCTTTAAAATATTCTGAGCTGTATTCACCACCATCCAAAGCGAGGATGCTCAGAACTACCATATCCGGCAAAGCACTACCAGAAATGTTAGGACATCCAGCCCACGACTAACATTTCAATTTACTTTTTTGCCGAGCCCTGCACACATTGACTGAGGTGGTGTTTCTGAAGGGGAATGCCAGTTTAAATTGGTTATCTTTTATCTTACGTTTTTGTTCTCCTGGCAATATCCTTTGCAAGTTGTGCACCCCGTTTGCCCTTGAACATTTTCTCTGCCTCCTGACGCTCCTACAGTGATACCACACACACACACACAAAGTTAATTTAAGCAGGAACATTAGGTATATTTTGCACAGCTTCTTCCTTTAAAAGAAGGCTTCTTTGTCCCGTTTGCATCAGAGCACCTTGGCATCTGGACCAGATTTAAGAATAAGCATTTGAACTTACTGTCAAAATGCTTAAACTCGATGAATATCAGCCTAATGTTCTTAACACCCATTTGTCTTCCCACCCATTTGTCTTCACAGGGACTCCTTATTTCATCTTTCAAAGACCTGCGTGTCTATTCAGGGCACCAAGAATGGCAGAGAAGAGCAAAGCATGTACATAAGCAATGCTACAAGACATAATTAAACCAGATATTTATTTAAATCAATGAACTGGTGAAAGAAAAACTGGTTCAAAGCATGCAGTCATTCAGTACTTAGTTCGATACAAATGAAACTTACAACTATGGAAAAAGCTGAGATTGGTCCACAGAAGGTTCAACAAAACAGGAACAAATATCTGCCTCAGAGCCTTACAGCAAAGAAGCTAGGAAAATACTAGACTTACTTTTAGCTTTACTTTTTGGAAATCCAACACTCTGACTTGCGGGACCTTGTGAATTATATACAGTCTGTAATGTTTCTTATTTGTCACAGGATTCCTCAATATGCTACAAAGAAAATATTATGAACAGATTCTGAATATGAGAACATACTGTCTAAAGTATATATTGTAGAAAGTCCTCGCACACTAACAAACAGACAGTCCACCCAATAAGTGCAGAAACAAAACCTTGTTCTTGATCCCTATGAAAACTACAACACCAAAGTAGCAGAGATTGGTTTACTAGCTTGATAAATTTTACTGCAAGTTATAATAACCGTCTCAACCACCTTCTAAAATGAAAATAAAGACCAACTAATTGCTTACTACATTTCTAAAATGCACAAAAAGCTGTTTCAATTGTATTTCACTGCATTATGATGAACTTCTAAGGATTACTGAACAGCATGATTTATATTTAGACTGAAATATTTTGTAAGAAAAAAAAATCTAGATTTTTACTTCTGTGAAGCTAAAATAAGTAACAGAGAACACAGCACTTAATGTGAATGTAACAGCTCATTTCTATTTACTTTGATAGCCTTTTGGCAATTTGAGAGCTCACTCATCAAAATTTATGCATCTTTAACCAATTTAAAGCTGTAGTTAAGCATAAGGAAATATAAAACATGGGCTTACATTAATAAAATCTATTCAAACAAATTAAGATTTCATACCTCAGGTAAGTCAGTGATTTAACAGTTGTCAGTGGATCCAGCTCACCCTGAAAAATGGGAATGTAATGAGTTATTTCATAGCAGTCCAAAACTAAAAGAAGCTGATTCAAGTCTACAGTACTGTCAATGACATCCAGTCACTGGTCAAATACAAATTATACCTAGTATGGTGCTAGGCCCAAAAAACCCCAAACCAAACACACATGCACCCCCACACCTCCAAATCATGTCCATTCAAAAATATTCAAATGTGTTACCTTTCTACAAGAAATATCCTGTCAATATTTTTATAAAATGATGACAAATACTTTGCACTCATTCACATAATCATACTACCAAAATCTTCACTAGAGACAGATCTTACAGATAATATTTATTCAAGGTAACAGAAACAGTAGTAAGCAAGTTTCAGGTTTAAGCTACAAATAGCTGATGGAGAACTAAGTAGGCAAGTATTAAGCATGCCATCAAGCATTTCAATATGCTTTGAGTTCCATACTAAAGACTAAGTTATGCTCCAATTTATGCCAGTGCAACTGCACTGACTTCAGAGGAGTTGTACAGACGTAGCCAAGAAAAAAATAGCCTTGAGTGGTAACGTACTAACACTATTATTCATTGACGAAGAGTACAAAATTCAAGAGGTAGAGATTAGGAAAAAGTATTGAAAAAAAATCCTACTTTGGTATGCAAACGAACAGAAAACAAAGTTTAAAATTAAATAGTTCTGGGTTTGTTTAATTCACAAGATTGTGAAATGAACAGACCAAAAACACTAAAGCATTAAGATGACTTTTGTGAAACCTCCTCATCCTCATTTACTAAAATCCCATGCCCATTTTACTAGTTAGCTCATTCAAGTCTAATCAAACTAGAATATTAAAGAAAAAAAACCTTATATTTTCTCTAACTGAGCTGCACATTTTCCGTTACACTATGCAGTATCAGAAGGCAAATGCTAACTAATGCCCCAGTCCTGGGAACAGTGCTGGACATCCTTAGCTAAATGAGATATTCAATCTATTTACATACTATCATCTTGTAACTTTTATATGAAAAAAATAAATCTCAAGAACATCTCCTGCATGTCAGAATGATTACCCTTGTAAGAACAGCTGTCCTGATGTACAAATGAAGACTAACACAATGATTTTATCTTCAAATGATTATGTAATATCTATATCTCTTTGCATATACATACATATAAACGTATGTGTTGCTATATATCTATATATCGAGAGAGAGAAACAGGGAGCACAAGAAAAACAAACAAACGACACACACGTAACTTAAGCTTGGTCAAAACTATTTTTAATGGAGAACTTACCAGCTCTGCAATGTTATTGTTAGTCAGAACGAGCTCCTGAAGGTTGGGTATGGCCTGTTCGAGCCCTTCACCAATCCGACTACAATAAACATATTAAATAAAAGAAGAGCCAAAGTTTATTTTATACTCGATACAATTTTAGTAAGAGTAATGGAAAAAAAACTGCAATCTGCTGCGATGCATTTTAATCATCAGACGCCCCCCAGATTCATGGGGATCAGAGGCTGCGGGGAGCATCTGGGCTGTTATGATCTTTATCTCCTGCTACAGAGCAGCTCCCGCGCACCAGTGTTGCCTGCCCATCGTCTCCCATCTCCCGGGCTGTCTCCAATTTACTGTTGCTGGTACGCGGCATAACCATGAGCGAGAGCCCCCGCGCAGGCAGGCTCAAGCACATCCCAGCCTCCGGCTTCAGCTGCCTGCCCGCGAAACAAGGATAACTCAAGGCCAGACGCTGGAGGTCCAGAGTCGCGGGCTGAAGCTGGCAGCCGCAACCTGCGAGCCCCGCTAGGAGCCCGTCCGCAGCTCTGCCACCACACCCTCCCCCGGGGAGGCAATGAACGCCCTGGGACGAGCCCGTGACAGGTGCCTTTCCGCAGGGCGTTTTCTGCCCCACGCCACTGCAAAACGAGCACGGACGGAGCCTGCACCCAGGCGACAAGGGTGCGGCCTGCCCCCGCACGGGGCCCCGGCCCCAGCCCACCAGATGCGGTTGTTGTTCATGAGCAGCGTCTTCAGCCTCTTGAGCAGCGGGAACCCGTCCAGCTTGCGGATCTCGTTGTCCGAGAAGTCGATGGCGTCGAACTGGTCCAGAGTTGCGCCCAGGTTCTCGATCACCGGGATCTTGTACCCTACGGGTAGGCAGACGGGCGGGGGGGGTCAGCACGGGTCACTGCAGCCCCCCCACTTATACCTCCTGGGGCAGACCCTCATTCCCCTCCCCCACAGCCCCCCCATGCCGCGCCGCGGGCGCTCACCGCGCAGGTCGAGCTCGCGGTCGCGCACAGCGTTGGTGTACTGCGCCGCCTGCTCAATCAGCTCGGCCGTCAGCTTCACCATCCTGCCGCCGCCAGCCAGCCGGCC